ATAGGAGCTGCGGTGGCTCAAGTGGTTAAGACGCTGAACTGCAGGCTGTGGAAGGTCAGTAGTTCAGCAGTTCGAGACCTGAGTGTGCCGCATGACGGAGTGAGCTCCCATCTCTAGTTCCAGCTCCTGCCAACGTAGCAGTTCGAAAGCAAGAAATTGCAAGTAGATAAATAGGTACCACTTCAGTGGGAAGGTAACAGCGTTCCATGCGCCTTGGTGTTTAGTCATGCCAGCCACATGACCACGGAAACGTCTTCGGACAGCGCTGGCTCTTCAGCTTTGAAACGGAAATGAGCACCGCAACCCTAGAGTCGGATTCGACTGGCTTTCGAGCAAGGGAACCTTTACCTTTACCTTTATATATATATATATTTAATAAGAACATAAGAGGAGCCAATGTTGGGTCAGGCCAATGGCCCATCCAATCCAACACTCTGTGTCACACAGTGGCCAGAAATACCAGGTGCCCTCAGGAGGTCCAGCAGTGGGGCCAGGATAATAGAAGCCCCTCCCACTGTTGCCCCCCCGCCAAGCACCAAGAAGACAGAGCATCACTTGCCCCAGACCTAGAGTTCCTATCTGTACCTTCCCAGCTGCACACCATCTCCAGAGCTGCACCTCTCTGCAGAACACCGTGTGTCTGTTTCTAGCGGAAAAGCCCCGTTCAGAAGCAGCGACCTACCTGACTGAGTCTGGGCTGATTTGTCCTAACTGGCCTGCCTCCAGGAGGCAGAGGTTCACGCCCCCCAGTGTGCTCAGCAAGGGGCCCGTGAGCGTGCCCCCCAGTTCCATGTAGGTCGAAATCAGCTGCTTGAGCTGCAAGGGAGAGAGTTAAAGATTAAAAAAAAAACACTCCGGGTCTCACTGGCAGAACCACGGACAGCACTTTGTTTCTGGGGAACAGATGACATGAAAGAAGAGGAGAAGAAAGAAGGAAGGGCAGGGATCTCACGGATCTCTTCTGTTGCCAGCCGGAAGAATAAGGGTCATATGTGGGATAAATCTGCCACTTTTATCCGAGCAAGGATACCGGCGACGGAGCATCAGGCCGGCCCGGTTGGATATTGGTCCTTTTTAAATTTATTTATTTTTAATTGAAAAACCAAAGCCAACAAAGCAAACTTAAGTACGCAAGTTGACTTGGAGATTCAGGGAGGGAAGAGAAAGGATGTGTTCTGATCTCAGAGACCCCGTTTCCACGTTACCTGATCCGGCTTCCAGGCCCCATTATCCGGGCTCAGCAATGCGGCAAGGGTGTCCCCGGAGGTCACTCTCCACTTGCTGATCTCCTCTGGGCTGTACAGGCGGGAGAGGTAGCTCAGCAGCTTCAGCTGATCATCGGGGATCCCATCTGGGTAAATCTGAAAAAGGAGGAGGAGGAGGAAAAGAAGGAGGAGGAGGAGGAAGAGAAGGAGGAGGAGGAGGAGGAGAACAAGGAGGAGGAGAAGGAAGAGAA